CGGCGATTTGGACGACAACGCCGTCCTCAACATCAGTGTCAGCGCACAGAAGGCTTTCCACTGATGGCTTACCCTTTGATCGGAAACCCAGAAAATGTCAAAATTTATTAAATGTTAAAACTATTTATTATTTGAATTCTTTTGGTTTTGTAAACTACAGAAGCTTTTAGTGCCAATTGTGCTCTCATTTCAATAAACACTTACGAACTGTAAAGCAATAATTGGAGCAAATATTCAGCACTAAAAAAGCGGACCAAAGACTGGACACTAAGAAACTTGACTCTGATATCGACCGAAAGGCGACAGATATCACAGTTTAAGTTTCTTTTAGTTTATTTATGAATGAATGGCAATAAATAGCAATAAATAAGTGGAAGCGATGTGTTTCATGCGCTCATATGACGCAAGGGAGTTGAGTGTATCGTAAGGCGTATCCTAAGATAGTAACAGAGTTAGCACTGAATGGCGCGAAATGATTGGTTACCGATTTGGCTGTTGAACGCGTTGTTAAAGTGGTCGCCATTTGTCCGCACTTTCAGCTGAAACGGCTTCGACCGCGCTGTCAATGAAACTCAATTAAATCAATTCATTCACTCATTCTGTGCTCACAAATGACAAAGTCGTGGTCCAGGAGTTTGGAGCCACAGAAGCGGTCTTCTCCCTGACCCGTGCCCTCCAGCGAGCCCTGGTCTATGCCCACGAAGTCGTCGAAGTTGCACAGTTGCCCACTGGCGCCGCCTGTAACGCACCGCCCGTTAGACTATCAAACATAAGAGCATTTGTAAGGTTCAGACCGTTGCAGAGTCTCGTGGGGAAGAGGGGGTCGTGTTCCGCGGGCACGACTCCCGGCAGTCCAGACATCGTCTCTGACGGCAGCTTTTTGCCCGATTTGCCCGAATCGAGCGCCACGAAGGGGAAGGGATGCGAACACTCGCCGATCTCCGAGTCCTTGCCCTCGAAGGGCGCGCCGAAGAGGAAGGATCCCGTTTCGGCCGTCTCCCACTTGATGGCGCAGAAGTTCTCTTCAGTGCGGATGCAGACCGTGTACCGCAAGTTCGCCAAATAGCGCGCCCTATACTCGATCTTAAAGCGAGAGTTAAAAAGCAGTCAATCGTTGAAAGCTTTGAAAAGTCTTTCGTTTCGTTGCTTTCAAACGCAGTCTTACTTTCGGTCCGAAATTAAAGCTTTTGATGACATCTGTCGGCGACCGGAAGTACTGCAGACATCCGGACGGCGCCATATCGAGGTTATTGCACGGAATCATATTGATCTTGATCTTCCACTTGCGGATCGATTTGTTGCCATTCGTCACAATGGAGAGGACGACGGGATTCGCGGATCCGCGCCCCATATCCACGTAGACTGAGGGGAGAGGGAGGCGTGAGTTGGGCGCAAGACTGCGGGAAAGCACTCACTGTGTTGACCGCCGTTCTCGCCGCACACGATGGGCAGGCGTTCGCCGACTGTCGTGCGCACCATAAAGGAGTCGGTCGTGCAGAAGCCGTTCTCGTCCGGCTGCGACAACTGGAACTCCTCGAAGTCGAGTCTGAGTTGGCACACGTTGGGCAGCTTCTTGATGGTCACCTGACACGTGTTGGTGTCGTTCTCGTGCTCGGGATACTGACGGTTCACGAAGAGGGTCTCGTTCTGCGAGGTCTCGCCATTGCACGTGAACTTGAAGGAACAACAAGCGGCGAATCCGTTGGCGCACCGACCGATCACTTGTCCCTTTCGGTTCAGGCATTCGTTCTGCGGGAGAGAGAGCGGAAGAGAGTTAGAGGGGGCGGAAAGCGGGGACAGGGATGAAGACCTCGTAGAGACAAGTGCCGCCTTCGTCGCTCTCGCCATTACAGGCCGTGTTCTGGAAGCGGATCATTGAGAAGATTCCGGGAATACTTATCGGACGAATCAATTGCGACGACGACTTCTGGACGAGAGTCGTGACGATCAGCACAACGACTGCTGAGAAGCTAATCATCTGAAAAATGTGTCATTCATTGAGTTTGACATTCAAGACACAGAAATCCATTCTTACGGCGGAATCAAAGAGTTTGTTGTCTCAGAGAAACGCTTTTTTGGGCAAAAAGCTCACAAAAGTTTTGCGAAGAGAACAGCGAAAGAGTGAAAGAAAGAACGGAAAGACGACAAAAGTGCTTACCTTTGCTGAGAGGAGACAAATGTATTGTTTTGATGACAACTGAGATCTAAGCGATAATTAAAGGTTTCATTTGTGGACTTAGTTTTGAACGGTTAACAGAATGGGATTGAGTAACAGTTGTGCACAAAAACCCGGAAATCCAATGTTAAGGTTAGGTTAACGCCTGAGGCGACGATGCTATCAATGTGTGAGCGTTGAGCTCACAGACAGACACTACTCGACCAGCAAAGCGGCAAAACGTTGGCGTTGTTCAGCGTTTACTGAATTAAACGGAGGTGAAGGTCGTAAAGTTGGATA